TCTCAATTAAAATCTCAGCACTCCTTCCCCCTACCCTTTGGTTAAAAATTAAAAGGTGATTCTAAAATTCATACAGAAATCCAAAGCAACTAGAACAGCCAAACCACTTCCAAAAAAGTACAAAGATGAAAATTTTACGCTACAGACTTCAAAACTAATTATAAAGCTACAGTAATCTGTTAGTATGGTACTGTTGTGAACATAGACAAACTGAGAAATGCCAACTAAATAGGTCAATAGTACAGACTACAGAGTCTAGAAATAGATCCACATATATATGGTCAGTTGATTTTGACAGAGATACAAAGTAACTTAGTGAAGGACAGTTTTTTCAACAAATAATGTCAGAACAGCTTGATAATTATACGCAAAAAATGAACAATCCATACATTGTGCCACATGTAAAAATTAACTCCAAATGGATCACAGGCCTAAATGTAAAACTTCACACTATAAAATTTATGAAAGAAAACATAGCAGAAAATCTTTGTGATCTTGGGTGACGCAAAGATTTCTTAGATACAGCATCGAAATCAAAATCTGTTTTAAAAAAGGATAAATTGGACTTCCTCAAAATTAAGTATACCCTTCTAAAGACACTCTTTGAACAAAATTGGAGGTCTCACACTTTCTGACTTCAAATTATATAATTATAAAATTACAGTAATTAAAACAGTGTGGTACTGGCATACAGAAAGACATATAGACCAATGGAACAGAGCAGGGAGTCCTGAAATAAACCCTTGATTTTTGGCAACGATGTCAACACCATTCAATGAGAAAAGAATAGTTTCATCAACATATGTATTAGAAGAGCTGGATGTCCACATGAGAAAAAAATGACATCAGATCCTTATCTTGAATCATGTAAAAAAATAACTAAAAACAGATAAAGACCTAAACTATACATACTATACCTAAATTATAATACTCTAAGAAAAAAACAGAAGAGAAGTTTCATGACATTGGATTTGCAGTGATTTCTTGGATATGATACAAAAACCCAAGCAACAAATGTAATAACAGATAAATTGAACATCAAAATTTAAAACTTCTGTGCAAAGGACAAACAGAGTAAAAAGAGAATGTATAGAATGGGAGAAAATATTTGCAAATCATATATCTGAGAAGGAGTTAATATCCAGAAAATATAGAGAACTCTTATGATTCAACAACAAAATATCCTGATTTAAAAATGGGCAAAGACCTCAAACAGATATTTCTCCAAAGAAAATATACAAATGGCAAGAAGCACATGAAAAGATGCTAAACATTACTAATCATTAGGGAAATGAAAATCAAAACAATGATAAGGTAGTACTTCACACCTTTTAGAATGGCTATTATCACAAAAACAGAAAATAACAAGTGTTGGTGAGGATATGATGAAATTGGGATCCTTGTACCTGGAGTAAAATTGGTACAGCTGCTATGGAAAACAGTATGGTAGCTACTCAAAAATTAAAAAAATAAAATTAAAATATGATCCAGCGATTCTACTTCTGTGTGTGCATGTATCCAAAAAAGTTGAAAGCAGAATCTTAAAGATATTTGTATATACCCATGTTCATAGCAGCATTATTCATGATAGCCAAGAGTTGGAAGTAACCCAAGCATCCAGAGACAGATGAATGGATAAACAAAATGTGGCATATATATATCATGGAATATTATTCAGCCTTAAAATGGAAGGAAATTCTGACACATGCTACAACATGGATGAACCTTGAAGACATTATGCTAGGTAAAATAAGCCAGTCACAAAAAGACACATACTGTATGATTCTGCTTATGTAAGGTGTCTAGAGTAGTCAAATTGATAGAAACAGAAAGTAAAATGATGGTTGCCAAGTGATGGGGGAGGGGAAAGTAGGAAGTTTTTGCTTAATGTGTATAGTATTTCAGTTTGGCAAGATGAACTTCTGGAGACCACAGCATGAATATACTTAATGCTGCTAAACTGTACATTTAAAAATAGTGGATTATAAATTTTGTGTTCTGTGTATTTTACCACAATTGAAGACATTCTTAGAGTGTAACAGGAGAAAATATTTGCAATTACACATTTGAAAAAGAATTTGTATTCATAATATATAAAGAGCTCTCAAAATCCAATAAAAAATTGCTGTAAGAAATTATACCTGTTAATAATTTAACAGATATGTTAAATTTAATATACTGATCTTACTGAATATTGGTAAGAATATAGCAAAACTGGAATGCTCAGACACTGATAGTAGATATGTAAAATAATACAAATACTTTGGAAAATAGTTTGGCAGTTTTTTTAAAAGATAACCATAAACCTACCATATGACTCAAGTATTTGTCCAAGATAAATGAAAGCATATTTATGTATGTTCATAGCAGCTTATATGTAATAACCCAAAACTGGAAACAACTCAAATGTCTATGAATAGGTGAATAGTTAAAGAAACTGTGGTATATAGCCATACAATGGAATGCCACTCAATAAATAAAAAGGAATGACATGTGCAACAATCTCAAAATAACCAAGCTGAGTTACCAAAAAAAAAAAAAAAAAAAAAAAAAAAAAAAAGACAAATTCATACACAAAGAACACATAATGTATGATTCCACTTACATAAAATCCTAGAAAATGCAAACTAATCTATAGTAATAGAAAGCAGTTCCATGGTCTCCTGAGGATTGATGGATGGAGAGAGGAACCACAAAGGAGCACAAGGAAAATTTGGGAGATGACTGTATGTTGTTATCTTGATTGTGGTGATGGTTTCATGGGTGTACACGCTTCAAAACATTAAACTGTATAATTTATACTTGTGTTATTTATTATATGTCAATGATATCTCAATAAATCTTTTTTTAAAAAATCAAATCCTACCAAAGAACAATCTGCCTAACAGGCATTCCTCTCCAGACTGCAGGATTCTTCAGGTCCCTCCAGCTCAAAACCTCTACAGTCCAGCTGGCACATAAAGGGTTACCCAAAGTACAGTATATCTTACAATCTCTACAGAGAGTAGAGAATGTGAGTTAATCATCAACAGGATTTCATAATGTTACTTTTAAAAAGTGAAGAATTACACAGAAGAGAATAAATATTTAGAGAGGATACACAATATCTGAGATATAACTGTCATTAGTAAAAAACTAATTTTATAGATCTCTCTGGTGGATCAAAAAGGAACTATGGCTATTTATTCCCATTAAAAGAGAACTTGATTACTAGCAATGATGTCAGATTTATTTAAAAAGTACATTGATCTTTTTAAAAGATAGAATAAATTATATTTAAGGCAAAATAGTTAATTTTTCTTTCCAATTATTGTAAGCCTGAGAATCATTTCAGATTTTATGGTCTAAATTCAGAGTAAGGACTGCTGTCTGCACTGTAATGTCTAAATATACAAAGAACAGAAAGATTTGAAATGAGAGCCTACATCAAAAACATCATGTTCTCTGTCAATAAAGGTGGGAGGAAAGATCCAGAAAGCAGAGTGGAAATGCAGGCCATGCTTGTACTAAAAAACTTTTATTGCTCCCTTCATCCTATCTAGTTATGAATCTCACTAGACAGAAATGTGGGGTATGGCTTGTAAGCTTTTGAAATGCTTTGCTGTTTGCTGTTTCTGTCTAGCACAGGGCTTTATCAGTAAATCCCAAAATGTCTGTTCAATTGAACAAAAAAGAAGCAAATACAGCAGGTCCTCAAATAACGTCATTATGTTCAATGTTGTTTCATTATAATGTTGATGAGATGCCTTAGGAACTTAACTCTTATTTATATCAACTAGCTTATGTTTCACCATATATCCTTTCACTTAAAGTCACTGAACCTATCAATGACACTAAGTGAAGACTTCCTGTAGGTCTGTGAAAGCATTTGGTCAGGAGATTTGCATTCTAAATCTGGCTTGACTAGACATTAAGCTGTAGGAGACATTCATTAAGCCACTTTATTTCATCAGTAAAATGAATAGTTAGTGTATACGCATATACACACACACACACACACACACACACACACACACACACACACACACAAATTCTTTCAGGTTAAGTGTAAAGGATAGGACATTTGCAGAACAGAAGAGATCTATATTCAGGCCAATTTACCAATAATTCAATGCAACAGGCTTTGAATGAGCAGTCTCTGTCTCCCAGAAACTGTCAGACTCTTGAGATTCAGAGATTAATGAGTTTGGTCCCCGCTTAAAAAGGATTAAAACAAAAGAACCAAAAACAAAGAAAAGAAGTTCCTGCCTTCGAAGAACTGACATTTCAACTGGTGAGACAACTAAGATACAATAAACCAAAACTACAAAGTGCAGTAAGAGTGGTACTATGAAAGAGGAAAGTTCAAGTGTAACAGGAACACTCAGGCGGAAACACCACTGCAAAGCTCACTAGCTCAAGTTAAAGAAATCTGTCATGTATAGGGAAAACCATGAAGGTTTTATAGAGAATGCTCTGCTGGGACAAGTGAAATCCAAGAGATTAGATTTTAAGTGAGTCTAACCTAAGTTTCTCAACATTCGCAATAATATAATCAGTAACTAGAGCTATTTACACCTCAAAAATAATCTAAGCCAATCTTAATAGAATCTTTTAAATAACAGGAACACACAAAAATCTGAGACTATTTGACATGACTACAAATGGTATTTTTGCATGATTCTAAAACTAATAGAAATCCCTTCCCCCCGCCCCCGCCCAAAACTACATTTAAATTTTATTTATTAATTTTGGAACTTGCTTTGGTAGAAAACATTGCTGTTATGATTTACTACCTGTATGCTTGCCCTACTATATTTTAATGAAAAAATAAAAAACTTAAAACCCTTCACACTGAGAAGTAGTATTTAAGAACATAAAGATTAAATATTAACATTTTGAGCAGGTCACTGGTACCTTTTTGATTTATTCTCCACTTAAGCAGAGCATTTTTTAAAAAAGAATTATGGGGGGTTTGGGGATAGGGCAGTTTCTCCCAGACTTCCTCCTGAGGTACTCACAGTGCTGATCACAATCAACTCTGGCGAACACTACTTGATTTTCATTTGGATATTCTTCCTTAATGACATTGGAAGCTTCCTCAAAAATTGGATGCAACATCTGGCTGAAACGACACCTATGCACAGAGAAGGTTATCAATTAAAACTGAAAAGTAGAAGCAATAAAATCTTATTTCAGTTATTATCCATTGATATTAGCATATGTACAACACACAGCTTTTGAGACAATCACATAGTTAATTTAGTCATGAATCCTAATGTCATTCACTGGAGATGAAGATAATTTTGAATTCAAAGACTACAGAAATAATTAAAAGATTTTTTTTTTACCCTTAGGAAAATGGCCAATATTACGAAGCACACAGATAAGGATCTCTCACAAACTCCATGAAACAAGCCTGAAATAAGCCCTCTAAGAGGAATCTACTTGGACTTGCAACTACTGAGACTTGGGCATTTATAAAAGAAATAAGCTTTCTCTAAATAGTGAACATATTTTAGACTACTGTGCAAAATCTTTAAAATGGTAAGTTCATTGCAAATATTAGACCAATTCACCTGTTAATTCAATCAAATCTCATAAGCAAGGTAGCATACTAATTAAATAACTTGTATGAAAGGATATATATAGTACATAATGAACTGTTTCCCCTCAGAATTTACCCTTGGTTAAAATGGGCTTTTGTAGCTATAAACATTAAATGTACTAAGTACAGGAGCAAAAATCTTAAATTCCTAAACAAGATTTCCTGTCCACGTTTCCTTTGTCATTTTTTATTTTTATAAAAAGGGGCACAAATCCCACAATATCCCAGAAACTTGAAACTTCTAATTCTGATTGTCAGGCCAACCACCTCACAAATAACATGCTGTGGGTCATTAAAGGGACCTGATAAGAAAGGAAAGAAAAATCAGAATTAGTACCCAGCCAGATGGGTTAGAATGGTCATTCTCACGTGAAAGGTATTGAGAATTCATTAACAAAAAAAAACAAACTATAACTGCTACTATTGCTTCCAGAGCCCTTTTCCACAAAGAAATTTACTTAAATAAAGCCTGTGAACTCTTTAATGCATATGTGATTAGGTCATATATATTATCCATAATTCTACAATAATATTATAAAGTATGTGAAAGGATGCAAACTTTATACTTCCTCCCTATTTCTTTTTGTATATATCTCTTCTAGCCCACTCACCTGACTTCCTAAGGAGATGTCCTAGAATATATCAAGGAGACACAATCTGTATCTTCAATCTCTTGCTTTCAAGTGGCTCTTTCCTCTTTTAGCATTCTTAAATCTCTCCCATCTGGGATAGGTGGGTGGGGTCTGTGGACATCAGGGACCGTGTCTTATTTGACTACATATTCTAATAAGCATTTCAATAGATGTCTGTTAAATAAATAAACTGACAGAATGAAGGAACTAGAGAGGCTAGGACCACAGGTTTGTGGGTTCTTACAGTTTGCTGGAAACGGAGTGCTGGAGGACAGGGGCGGGAAGGGGTAGGGATGGATTAATGGTTTCTTGAAGAATTAGAATATGGCCTAGTAAAGAATCAGTAGACAGGCTCCTGGTTTACGAGCAAGGTAAAGACATACATTAAGGGCTCCTTCTTTCTGAATTGTCCAGTTTGCTGCCCAGTAAGCATTTAAGCATAAGTTTTTGTTTAAAATAGGATCAGTTTTGATACCAAAAAGTGGAAGGGGAAGAGGAAATAAAAGTTCAATTGAAATATTACTGCACCTTCATACACATGTACCCATACATATGAAAAGTTACATTTGTAAAAGTAACATAAAAGCAATAATCTATTAAAAGGACGTTAAGGGTCATCTGAATCCAACTTCCAATCTAGTGCTTGAATCAACTCTTTACAAATCAACCAAATAGGTAAAAGTCTTTTCGCAGGGACTATTTGAGGGCACTTACTAATATGACCTAGTGAAGAAAAATAATAAGCTTTGGAGTCAGACATACCTGAGTTTAAATCCCAGTTCCACCACTTACTAGCCGTATGACCTTTCTGAGCCTCAATTTCCTCAACCTAAAATGGAAATTATAATACCTACCTGCAGGGTAGTTCTGAGCATTAAAAACAGTATATGTAAAAAGCCTGGCACATAACAGCATTATTAAGTACCTACTATAGTTTGCCACCTTCTGAGGCATATCAGTATTTTTAGGAAGTTCTGTTACATAATTCTTAAACTGTTACATCCATTATCCTCCACAAGGAACTCAGAATCTAGCCTTTGAGGCCACAGTGTAAGTCTATGTCCTATGACCAATTACCTGAGTTTTTTCAATTGAATAAGAGTATTAATTCATGAACAATTCAAGGTATTTTTGGGGTATATGTTCTCCTGAATAACTTCAATTAGTCCGCATTTCCAACTCAGTTTTTGTAACAAGGTCAGTGGCACATTCTATTTTTCTTAAAACATATAAAATCCCTCAATCGAGAGAATAGCATTCTAGTTTTAACTATGCCACAATCTTGTCCTGTAACCTGGAAAATACTTTACTCCTCTGAATCTGTTTTATTCTTAAAGAATTTGACTAGATAATCTTCTACCAAATTTTGTGTCTATTTTTACATCTAGATAACCCTAATTTATCTTGGAAAATGTTATCTTTGTTATACATTTTTTATAAATGGTATTTTCTCTGTATATCTTCAACATTTTACTGAAGTTCTTTAAATACCTATACATCATTCATCCAGTAAATATTAATTATGTACTTATCTACCAAGTATTATGCAAAGTACTTAGGGATTTATGCTGAAAAAAGATAGGTGTGATCTTTTCACAAAGCTAACAATGTAGTAGGGAGCTGTAACTAAACTATAGTACACAAGTACTATAGTTGGGTGCGTCTAGGGTGTATGAGAAAATATAAAAGGGTTCCTATTCTGACTTGAGAGGAAGGGTTAGAGATATTGATCTAGGAAGGTGACTCGGAGAAAGTGACATCTAATCTAAGACTTGAAAGATGATTAAGTCTTAACTAGGTAAATAAGTGGGTGAGATAATAGTGATCCATTCAGGCAGAGAAAATACCATGAATAATGGTCCGGTGATAAAAGACTACAGAATATTCAGTATAACTAGAACAGAATGTGGAAACAGAGAGAGGCAAGAGATATGGCTGTAGAGGTAGGAAGGGATCAGGTCATCAGATGAGAGACTTACCTAAAAGTAACAGAAAACCATTTAAGGGTTTTAAGATGAGGTGTAAACTGATCCACTTTGCATTTTAGGAAAGACCACTCTGGCTTACTTTGCAGAGAACAGAATGGAGACACATAAGACTAGAGGCACATAAAATAAATTAGGAGGCAGTTGCAGGAATCTGGGTAAATTGCAGGACTATGGCCTGAAATAGGACAGTGGTAACTAGTAGGTGGTAAATCTAAATGGGTCAAATAAGATACAGATTGTTTAGGAATAAGGATTATGTGTTTCAAACTTCTCTTGAGCTGAAACTCTCGTCCTTCTGTCCCCATCCCACATTCTTTAACATCTATTACATATTATGCCCTTGTTCTAGATGCTGGAAATACTTAGTAAGACATTATCTCTGCCCTCAAAGTTTGTTTGGTAGGGCAAAAAGATAAAAGAACAATGGAGTTAAGAAAAAGAAAGCAGTACACAGGGTACTATGTGAACACAGAAGACAGAATCTGATTCAGACAGGATAAGGAGTAAAGACTTCTTAGAAGTAGTAGTTAGTGGTATATGTTTAAAATTTTCAACATAATTTTTCCTTCTAAACTTGCCACACCCACATCCTTACCTCCAAACACTGCCCTACTTTCTCAGTCAGGAAAAACTGACTGAGAACTGCAATATGTACTCACTGCATGTGTGGGGGGAGGAGGGAGGGAGAGAGATTGAGAGATTGAGATTTGAGTCTTTATGTTAACTACTTTTATTTTAAGATGTGGTATAAGGGAATCAGGTATATTTCTCTCTTAAAACACAGATACTCAAATTAACTTGCTTTATTTGTGAGTAAACCTTAATTGACTTTGTGTATGGAATAGTCTCATAAAAGAAAAAGGCTTCTCCACTCACCCCTTTCTAGCAAAGAAAAATTCACCTTTACCAAGTTAAACCGCAAAAATAATATTATTACTTACCAATCAGCATAAAAATTTACTAAAGCAACATCAGCATTGTCTGAAATTGAAAAACAAAACCAAACAACCTAAGTTATTTGTGTTTACATAATTTTGGCATAGTAAAAGATATGGTTTTCATCATGGTCTTTTTTTATTGTAAAGGCCCATAAAAAATACACAATAACAATTAAGTTACCTCTTGCTCAAAAACCCATACATAGAATGGAAAACATATAATTTGTGGGAGTCCTTGTTTCTTTTCTCTATAGCTTCCACCTTTATACCTTCATGGAATGAACATAAAACAAAAGGGGAATCAGACCCAGATAAGGCAAGTAAGCTGCTAAATAGCCTACTCTCATAAAAAGTCAAGTGAAATAATCTGGATTTTAATAATCTGACTTTCCTTATTTATAAATAACTGAGAATTACCTCAGCAAGTAATTCCTATTTCACAGAAGAGAGCTGTATAATTAAGCTCAAAAATGCCCCACCTAGTTACAAGTATTCTACAACTAATAGTTTTGGGTAAAATGTATTTTTTCTGGTTCCTATACACTTAACAGTTATTCTCGGTTGCAAAAATAACTTAGTATCATTTGCATAGGATATGAAGACATGAGAAAGTTATGTTCTTTTCCTGTAAATCTAATACAAACAGAAACTCCTCAAGTACTCACAAAAATAAAAAGCAGACATTCTAGAATTTGGAAGATTAAAGGAGTGAAAATAATATGTAAGTTTCAAAGTTTCAATTCTCTTCCTTTTTT